AGAGCGTGAAGGTTTCACTTGGTACTCAAAGCTAAGAGTCTCTACTTATGGTTTTTTATTACTTCACTCTTTTCTCTCTTCCTTCTAGATTTCTTATGAGAAGATCTGTCAAGGAGATCCAGTTCTCTACCGACACTTGGAAAGTGTGAAAAGACGAAAGGTTCTCTGCTTACACTTGGAGAGTGTGAACGGTGAAGGGTTCTCTGCCTACACTTGGAGAGTATGAAAGGAAGACGAGTTCTCTGTGTATACTGGGAGAGTGTGAAATGACGATGGGTTCTCTGCCTACACTGAAGAGTGTGAAAGGACGGAGGGTTCTCTGCCTACACCGGGAGAGTGTGAAAGGATGGATGGTTCTCTGCCAACACTGGGAAGAGTATAAAAGTACGACGGTTCTCTACCGCACCGGGTAGTGGTGAAAGAGATTTTGTTAAGGCTTCTCTGCCTTGCTGTGGGTGCAAAAGGAGAGTCACTGTGAAAGGATGGAGGGTTCTCTGCCTACACCGGGAGAGTGTGAAAGGATGGAGGGTTCTCTGCCAACACTGGGAAGAGTGTAAAAGTACGACGGTTCTCTGCCGCACCGGGTAGTGGTGAAAGAGATTTTGTTAAGGCTTCTCTGCCTTGCTGTGGGTGCAAAAGGAGAGTCACTAGTGTTATTAGTGCAATACTCGGAGGGTGCCTCTAGGGAGTGGATGTAGGTCGTGTTTGACCGAACCACTATAAATCCCCCCCCCCCCCCCCCCCCCTCTTGGTTAGCCACTAGGACATAAGTTTAGGTTTAACCTAATTCATATTGAACAAATTTCAACAATCTCCTACAATAAAAACTCTTTCTTTAAGAGGTATCTCTTATATTAATTCTTCTAATCATTCCAAAATTTTAATTTTGAACTCATATCCAAACATACTTGAGGAGCATAAGCATTTATAATATTAACAATCTTAGCATCAACAATAATTTATAAAGTTATAATTCTATCTCTATTTCTATAAATTTTTATATAACATTATCCTTCAAACTCTTATCTATAATAGCAGCTACACCATTTCTAGTATGACTCATATCTGAATGTCATTGTTTATAAACTAAACTATCAATCTCCTGAGCCTTCTTTCTAGCCCATTTAATTTCCTGAATGCATAGAATATTTATCTTCGTATTGATCATAATATATATTAATTTCATTAATTGTCCTATAAGGGAGCCAATATTCCAATTTCCTATCATAATATTAATTTCATGGACTAACTTTTTTGCCCACTTCCATCCTTGATGTAGGAACCCTTGCCTATTTAACATTGCACCCGAGAGCCGGTGCAATGACCCTTGCACACTTGTCGTTGTATTCAAGCCATACAGCTCATCGCTTCTAGGGGACGCCCTAGCTTTAACACAAATTTTTAAAGAATTCATGTCATGATTATTCGACAAATTTTACGCTTGCTGTCGACTACCTAATGTAACCCTCTACTTTTTTTATCCAGGACATGGGACCTAGCAACGACAGTGTTTCCCTTTGGCTTTGGATACCCATATAAAATAGTGAACAAAAACATATGAATCAGTATGTGTGTTGGTGAATATAAAGTCAAAATAATTTTGTCTAAAATTTAAATAACATAAGAATCACCACCAAAATGATGCTTACACAATTTAACATCTTAAAACCCATATCTAAAAATTTGTTTTTGAAAAGGAGAATGACGACTTGAATATTCAAATCATTTAAAAAAATAATGTAATGGGTTAAATCATATTTTGACTGATAAGGATAAAAGATGTAAAGATTTGCGATTAGATTCTTGAAAAAGAAAGAAAAAATGGAGTTTAGATGAAAAACAAGGAGAAGAAGGCGCAGATGAGATCGAGAAAGTAGAAGAATGGGAAATGGTTGAGCGAGCTATCAAGTTTGAATGTATGGCATTTATTGGTGATATTTTTAGTGAATTTTTTTTGTGGTTATTAAGTACATTACTGGGAAAAAATTTGTCAAAAAATTTGCAAATAATAAGTGAACACGACATAATATTTGGTGGACTATATATATTTTTTAGCAAAACCGACTCATAATTTGCCGATTTTATAGTTTGTTGAGGGAGATTTTGTTGGAGTTACCACTAAAATTTCCATTGGAACTTGGTTTGCCAAAATTTTTGAGGTAATTTTGGATATTTTTTTTTTTGTATTGAATTATCTACCAAACATATATTGAACATGATCAAAATAAGTTCAAACCATTATTTGAATTTGATAATCTCATATCTAACATTCTTCTAGGTTTAAAGTTCAAGGTGTAAACATAGAACATCAATCACAAAACTTCAACGAGAATCACTGGCTAGCAAGAGATGTTGATACAAACGTGGATGAAGGTGAAGATGACGTATTGAAATTTTGAATTGCGAATGAAAATCGTTGAAAATGAACAGGATTTTGAAAATAGGAGTGTATCAATTTCTAGCATAAAATATTGCTTATATAAACTTGTGTTTCCATTAAAATTTTTGGGATATTTTTGATAAAACAAAAGTTTTATGCAAATTTTATTTAAAAAAATAAATTCACATGTATTTTTTTTCAATCTTGAATATCATGGGACCTATAAAATTAAAACTTTCCAATCTTTATCAATAACAAAAATATTTTCTTGGCAAAAAATTTAGAACAAATAAAAATTTCACCCTCGCCGCCAAATCATTTCGAGCAAAAACAGGCCAATTTAAAAAAATAATAAAAAAATCATTGAAACCCGTGATATTGGCCTCCCAGCCCCTCCCCGTCCTTTAAAATGCCACATCTCCCAATTTTGTTTCTTCACCTCTCTCTCCTGATTGGCTTCTTACTCTCTCCTTCTCTCAAAACTTTCAAAACTCTGAAATATTAAAAAGCAAACCACCAAAAATGGAATCCAGCCCCGCCCCGTCGAAGGCGACAGTCAAGCGTCTTTGGCAAATCATAAGTGCAGTCTTTGTAATGTTCCGCGAAGCCCTAGGCAAACGCCACCTCTTGAATGACCTCCGCCTCCATTTTCTCTTTCACCAAGGCAAACTTGCCGGAAAATCTCTCCGCTCCCTAATCTTAGACCTCTCCCATCAACACCCCTCCTCCATCCATGCCACTGCCATCGATGCTTTCTCATGTCGCTTCATGGACCCCGATGCCGCCATCTTCGCACCTCGTGAGGTTGAGTTTAGTTGCAGCAGCACGCCCCACTTCGCCCCTACTCGCCGACGAATTCATCATGTCGGTGGCCGCCGCCGCCGACATAATGGAGACCACGCTGCCGAGGTCGCCCGAGCTTTTGAGATTCTTGACTCGGTTCCGGATAATGGGGGAGCTGTAGAAGAGGTGCTGACACCGCTGATATCAGTCCTAGCGACGCCTGCGCCGACAGTTAGGCCGCTTAGGGTGACGGATTCGCCGTTTCCCCTGATGGAAGAGGAAGACACGGACGAGGTGGTGGATCTGGAGGCGGAGGAATTTATCCGACAATTCTACGAGCAGCTTCGACGGCAGCAGATGTGGTCCTACTAATGGTAAAGTATGATGGTGAAGTATGATCCCCGATTGCTTAAAAAAAAAAAAAAAACTACTACAAGAAATGCTGAGAAAAAAAAGTTACCGGAAGGATTTTTATTTTCTTTTAATTTTGATGAATGGTTGCTATAAATAAGTTGTGTTGATGTATAATTATATTGTATTCCTTGTACTTTTATCGATAAAAAATAAATCACTTTACATATATTTTTCTCTCTTGTTTTTTTTTTTTTCAAAAAAAAAAAATTCCTTTTTATATTTTTTTTTTTTTTTTTTTTTTTTTTTTTTTTTTTTTTTTTTTTTGAAGAAAATGCATGAAATTGCATTAAAAAGAGACACAACAATACAATCTTACGTCACACCCAAAAAACTAATATTCTCCTTCAAACAATACAAGAAAGAAGGATGAATAAAATCTAGATGCAGACTATCCCAAAAAAACGACCCATTTAATGCCACATTAGCACAAATATCTGCTAACTTATTACCCTCTCTACCAGAGCAAGAAAAACACACTTGCTTAAAATTCAGTAAAAAAGCTAACTCATCTTCTATAACTCTACAAACCTCCCAATTCTTCATAGATCTCTGAAGAACTTTAATGATATTGACATTATCGCCTTCTATGATAACTCCCTAGGCTTCAAACATCCAATCTTGTATGACGTTCTTCAGATACAATACAACAAGCATTTCCAAATGAGATGAATCCCAATGCAAAAGCTGGTAGCTGAAACTTAACAGAAATCTCCCATTATCGTCTTTAGCCACACCTCCAATATCAACCACATTATTCTTTTTAATAGCAGCGTCAACTTTAATTTTTATCCATCCGGGGGACATAACTTTTTTTTGGAATTATTTCAAGAGCGGAATGAAATTTGAACTCATTCAAAAATTTTTAGTGAAATATATATTTTTTTAATTCTTCGTGATTATCTTTTTTTTTTTATTGAAATTTATATATTCGTAATAATGTATTTATATTGATAAGACGGATTTATAATTACACAGATTTCGATATTAATATTAATGATGTTAAGAAATAATATACGAAATTTAATAACAAAATACCTGCGGATCTTTTTTTTTTTTGGACAGTTGGAAACAAGATGAATGTTGTCGGAATAATATCGGGGCATTATTGGCCTTCTAAAGTAAGAACAAGCAAGAGTGAAATAGAACGAGGCTGTTTGTACTAAATTATTCAATGAGTTTTGAATATGATTTTTTGTTTAAGGTTAATTATGTTTAATATTCACTATTGTTTCTAATAAAAAACATATATTTATCAGTACCAAGAAGAATGCTACATTAATTTTCATTCACACCCCAACTAATAATTTTTTTAATCTTGGAGGCAAGATGAGATCATGATTTGATAAATTGTTGTATTATAAGTTCTAAAGCAGAGTTGTTTGACATAAAAAAAAAAATCTAATTATTTTAATGAACCAATTTAAAATGAGAGTTTTCATTCTTCAAATTTAATGCTTATATACATTGATTTCTAATGTAAATTATTTTTATGAAAATAATAAAATATAAGTTTCTATTGATTTATTCCTCATGAATTTCCGTAGACCTTCCTAAAAAGTTAAGATTTGAAACGAAATCAGGTTGTTGGCCGCATATTTGGTTTGGCAAACCAACAACATTAATGTTGATTGACCCCATAAGCCTCGACTAGTTTTAGATTTTAATAATAGCAAATGAGACAAGAAATTTGGCCGGATGGTTTTATTTAAGACGTACATGTAAACATGTTACACTTTTTAAACGTAATGAATAGCAAGCAATATGTTTAGATGATTTTTATTTCTTCATTTGTAAGAGTCAAGAGAATAAAATATCAAAATTAAGAAGCACGTTATTATTATCACAACATCATAACTATAATATTTTCTAACATCAGTTATTAAAAACTGTATTATATATATATATAATTTTTATGAAAAGCTATTTTTATACATAATAAGTGATGCTCGCGGAAAAATTTATTTTTTCCACACAAGATTCACTTTTAAAATTTTTGTTTAAGGTTTTTTCAGTTAAATCTGCATGAATGGACATTAGACCATCCTAAAGGATAGATGAATGCCACATTGATTTGATAATATCTAATTTTTTTATTAATGATTTTTAAATTAAGTTACTTTGAATGATGATTGATTTATTGAATTTATAATTTTAATATTTATGTTTTATCTATATCATTTGTTGAGTTGTCACAACACTCAAGAGGACTAAAGCTCCTAAAGACGTAGAGCGCCGCAGTTCTAGATAGACCTGCCTAAAAAAACATTAATAGCGTTGGTTATTAATTTTACTATTTTTATCTAATTTAACTTATTAGGTTGATGATTTATTAAAAAATTTATATTTTTTTATTTTTTTATTGGAGTTAATATTTTAATACATTTAATATGGGTCTTTTTCTTAACTTTTTTATTTGCCTAAGTTTCTAGAATTTCAATATTTTTCAAAAATATTAGATCAATCAACGTTTTGAAAACCGGACCGGATAACAGACCGGAAGAAAGAGAGGTTCATGGTTTGACCGGTCGAACTGGGGTCGAACCGGATGACGTAATATATAATAATATTATTAAAAATTATAAAATGAATGAAAAAATTTCCTCTAATATATTCAGTATGCATTTCATTTTCATATCAAACTAATCAAATAATATAAATATGGCATCAATGAAGTTTATAAAACATAAGCAAATAAGTAAATAACATACCTTTTGTTGAGCTCTATTGTGTGTTGGAAGTTGATGAATGCAACCATCTTCAATTCTCCTTCTCTATCAT